CCACGGCAACCTTTGGTCCACAGCGTGTGCGTGGAATCTCTTGTTTCGACGCCCAGAAGTGATCCAGCTGTCTGGCTCGAGTTTTGCAAGGGTCGCGTATGATCTCTTGCTCTTTGTTCTGTGTTCGATCCGTTGGCCCCCACCCTGCACGGTGGACGAATAAATGGGGGCGGATGGCGGAAATTGTGTGGGGTTTGCTTGTTCGTCGTCGTGCTTGTTTTCCAGGCCTATTCGGGTGTTTGGTGTCATTGTCGCTTGATTGCGGCGCAGCAGTGCTGCAACGATGAAGCCTATTTCGTAAGACACGAACCAACCCCATGTCCTCGGTTGTCTTCCTGCTGGCATATCCCCTGAATTTTCATGCTCCCGTCTTGTTGATGCGCTTTTTTTTTTTGTCTTGGGCGCGCACAGCCCCGCAGTAGTGCTCACACGCAGCAGCAGTGGCGGGAGTGGCGAGAGTGGGAAGACGCGTTAACGTGCGCGCTGGGCAAGTTTAAGAAGGCCGGAGCGGACGCCGCCGCCGACGTGAAGGGGGCCGAGGCCGCCGGGCCGGAAGGGTCGTGCAGCAACGAAGACTCGACGGTTTGCATTTCCCCGTGGAGTAGCGAGCGAGGAGGAGGGGGCAGCTTCGGAGGGTTCAGCGGGAACCTTCGAGCCTCGTCCTCCCACGGGGAGGGCGGCCGGCGACACTACCTCAGCTCCGGCACGGCGGGGGATAACGGAACCGCGCCGGAACAGACGGTGAGAGACGCCTTGCCGCTGCATCGACGCGGGCGGAACTCGTCGCACCGGGGAGACCTGGGGGGGGACGAAGCGAGATGGATGTGGAGTTGGAGATCATATTCGCCGCCGTCGACGCTGTCGCGACACAGGGGCAGAAACGCGAACGGAGGAGGAGGAGCAGGAGCAGCAGCGAAAAAGAACGCCCCCGTAGGTTTCGTGCAGCCTGCGAGCGGGCTCCCGGGGGCGGATGGTGGGACTGCGACGAACGGCAAGCCCCCACCATCGCCCAGCAGGGTCGATTCCCCAGATAGGGTGGGAGGAGGGTCGGGGAAGTCGGGAGACTCGGTGTTGCTGGGGGAGTCCGTGGTGCGGTCCAGCGGGGGTTACCTCCCCCCAAGACACCCCCTCGCGGCCCTGCAGCTCTCGCCGACGAGCCAACGGAGCGCCGTAGGGTCCGACTCGGAAGAAACCGGCGCGGGACGAGACCCCGGCAGGGAGAAAAACGGAGGAGACTCGGGCGCAGAGCCGGAATCGGTGGTAGGCAGTGCCGGATCGGCCAGAACCCCCACCAAGGGATCGGCCGCGGAGGCGGTGGCGGTGGCGGTGGCGGCGGAGGACACCCCGGAGGTTAGACCGGCGGGCGATGCCGCGGCGGAAGGCCCGGCCCCCACGGAGGGCGAGGGTCCCGCTCCGACGGAAGGAGAGGGGGGGGGCAAGAGTGCGGCCCCGGGTGGCGGGGCCCGTCGCAGGCTGAGGTATAGCGACGCCGGCGGCGGCGCGACCCGCGCAGGAGGAGGGGGAGGGAGCGATTCGCGGTCGGTCTCGGGAGTGTTCTCGGGGCTGGCGGACTGGTTGATGCCCGGCATGGAGCCTCGCCGGCCCGCGGTTAAGACGGAGCTGCTCCTGGAGGTCTACCCGAGCGCGCCCCAGTCTCCCGAGCGCGGGCAGCCGCCGGTGGTGACGAGGTCTGCGCCGCCTACGCCCCGCGGGCGCAGGAGGCCAACGTCGGTGCTGAGAGATGGGGGGTGGTTCTACAACGGAGACTCGGACTACTCGACGGAGGAGGATGTTGACGGCAGCTACGAGAGCGAGGACGATGGGTTCTGGGCAGACGCGGCGGAATCCAAAGCGCCGCAGAGGATCGGGGGAGGCGGCGGCGACAACATCCTTACCCGTCTCAAGAAGCTCTTCATGTGATGGGTGCTTGACACGGACGGAGCCCTAGAGAGACAGACGAGAGGAGGGACGAAAAAAAATATGAGCAAAGCAGGTCAGGTGTGGTTGGTGTTGCATGTCTCCACAAGATGTATTTTAACGATCGCGTGGGCTTCTGTTTTTTTTTTGGTTTTCTTGGTTTCGGTGCCGGTGCTGACGTTTTGTGGAGCCCTTCTTGTGTCCCTTGGCCCGGCAAGGTTGCCGCTTCCGTGGGACTAGGGTTGTCCTTGACTGCACGCTCGTGTTTTTCGAGCTCGTTGTCTGGATGGCCGCCGTCCAACGATAGCGATGATGCGCCCTCACGTGGTACATATGTTTCTTAGAACCTTGTGTAACGTTTCGTTTTTCTCGTTTTTTCAGTTCCTTCGTCCACCGCTCAGTCTGTTCTCCTTTGCATGGGTGGTCTGCTGATTCGTTTCCCGGCTGCAAAAACTCTTTATATAGACTTTTTCTTCTGGTACGTGCGCTTTTGGGGGTGCTATTTTGTTGGCCTTGTGGCTGTATCGTGTCTGGCGTTTGTTTCGTCGGGGGCACAGGGGACGTTGTGCGAGCGGCATTTGAGGGTTCTCCCCGTGGGCATGTTGAACGCAACTCGTCGCTGCTGCGTCGTTCTTCTCTGCCACCACGCACGCTTGTGTGGTTCTTTCTCCCAGCGCTATGCATTCCCGTGCGCTCACGGATTGTCGTCGGCACACGGTGTTCGAGTACCGCGCCGCGCTACGTAAGATGGGGAGGGTATTGTTGGCAGGTTGTGCACCATCGCATCGTGGCGGAGCGTTTCTTGGGATTTGGAAAAGCAGGGCTAGTAGCGATATTATAGTGACAAGCTCAAGCGAGAGCTCTCCTCTCTGCTCTGCTACCGACGACGAGTCGAAGGGAAGAAAGAGAGCTGGGGTAAGCCCACTAACGACGAACACACTTCGTTCGAACTCAAGTTACCTGCTACGCCTTGTGTTGGTACCGTGCGCGCCAAAAGTGCACGCTTCTTCTTGGGGCACATGTTCGTGCAGCAAACGTGGTGTCTTGTATCAGTAAATTAGCTTAAAACAGTAACCTGCGCTGTATCGCAGGACCTTTGGAAGAAGTTACAGGGAGATAGGGAGAACGCACCTACCTCCTTGCTGTTGCCTTCCCGTCTCCACGCATTGCTCAACCACGATGCCTTTGCCACCACTTTTCGGTGGATGTTTAGTGTCTCACGCGGAAGAAGCGAAGCAGACCGGTTTTGTATTTTTCTTTTCGGAGCTCTTTTCGGTACACTTTTCGAGGGTTTTGTCGGTAGCCGAGAAAATCGGTGCTTGTCTGATGTCGAGGCTGCCGTCTACAAAGCAGCCCGCAAGTGGATGTGATTTGTCTTGATCAGCCGGTATACCGGCGTTTTTTGGTTTACTTGAACCCACGGGGAACTGGCCGCAGGCACAATCAATGGCAAGCGAGTTGATAACCAACGGTGTTCGAACCCACCAAACAGTCGCAGATGGATGGCGGGAAGCCCGCACATATGTAATGCTCTTACGGTACTAGAACGGACACCTGCCCTGTTGAAACCTGACCAGCGGTTTCACGTGCGTGTCGTTTGGAATGTGGCTCCGCGTGTCGTGCGATGTTTATTGCCAGTCGTAAGCCCGTCCAAAACACTTAATTTTGTCGGTGTTTGTTGGTGGGTCCACGCACGGATATACACATGTTCAACCGGGTACAGGCGTGCATGCAATATCGTGTCTGCGTCCAATAGTTCCATGCTTGCTTGTAGGTGGATGCGAATGAACCGTTATCTGGATCCCTGATGGATCCCAAGAAGGAAAAAATGGACGTGAAGTGAAACTTGAAAACTGAAATTTTGGGGGGGGCGCTGCTCTAAACTCTTACGCACCAGCGTCGCACAAGACGAAACGCGTGCAGCTATTTTTACGTGGTAACTCCCGTCCCATGCACATCCTTGCCGCCTCTGCTTCACCATTGCCTCCAAATATATAATAGTCTAGACTATGGAATAAATCAGAGAAGGTGGCTGTTCTGGGAATCTCAGCAGTTTGGCAGGCATGGCAGGCATCGGTGTCGTCATCGTCCTCCCCCCCCGGCCAACTTGCTTCTCAAAACTGACTGGGGGACAACGCGCCGAGATACATTACTCCTGTAGTCTGATGGTGCGGAGTGCTCGTTGGGAGATCCCGCAGAAAGCTCTTCTCCTGTCGGGCGCCGCCTTATAAAAAACACAAGATGCTGCATGGTAGCCCGCCCTTTTGCAGAGGAAAAAAAGAAAGGCACAGCATACAACAAGCAGTCAGTGCGAGTGAGTGAGGAAAATTACTGTGCTACGACGTACTACTACTGAAGTAGAGTTGAATTGTATGCTACTTGTTTTACGTGTTCGACGGGATGAGGCAGGCGAACATTCGTTGTTTGAATGCATTTAGTAAGTATTCAGCACCCACCACCCGATCATCACGCCGTTGCCTCATCACAGAGTAATAGTAATAAAGGAAGGGTGCACACCTTCTCCAGAGAGCATGCCGTGTGTGCGTGTCAATTTAAATGAACACGCGTTGGACCTTGCTCCACGTGAAGAAGGGAACAGGAGGAGGGAGTTACGTGAGCGTTCGATCTTTTCGTTTGGCGTGTCAATCAAATCTATCTGTTGTTTTTTTTTCTAGTCGGCGACAAAAAGACGGGGATGACGAGAGTGTCTGGCATTGGGGTACGAGTGTTTCGTCACATGCACCCTTGCACTGTTGCCAATTGCTTCTCCATCAAGCTGCGCGACTGCAAGACAGAGGCCATTTCCATGAGGTCGCATATCCCCTCCTCACACCCCGTAGCGCCAGCTCCTCCATCCCCCGTCCCCCCCCCCCCCCCCCCCCCCCCCCCCCCCCCCC